GAATGAATACAGTTGCATATCAACCCACCCACCTGCACCCTCCAACGTTCTCCAGAAAACTAAACAACATGACATGAGCCTGTAAACATCTGTAAACTGTTTTTCTGATCAGGTCCAAACGGAGGGTCCAGCTAGATGTTCGAGCACCAATGGATGACATGGGTGCAATCGCTGGCAAAAATGGCATGCAGCCCAGCCAGCTCGAAGAGAGACCAGGTGAGAGCGCTGGCTGTAGTCTCATGGCCGGCCTGGGCCGCATAGATATATATAAGTTTGGTGTTATTGTTGAAGAAGCTCGCTTGAAGACCCAAAGGGGCCACAAAATGGAATGACTAGTGACCATGATCTGATAGAGGCCCTAGGTCGGTGGCCAGTTGACCGCAGAATGATAGGGTTGAGTTGGATCCATGAAGATTTCACAGAGATGAGATAGCCCATTAGGATTGCGAGTGATGTTGGCCAAATATCACATTTGGGCTCTAAGCTTCAGCTCAAACAAACAAGCCGTAAGCCGGTCAACCGTGGACACCCAAAACTTACAAACCAACATAAACCAACAACATCCACCGACACAAACTGTCGCTTGAACTCCGCATGTTGTCCAAACAATCATACAGCATACAAAAGCCCAACATCAACCGGCACTTTCTTGGTAGGGGCGGTAGAGGATCATCATCCTGCAGTGGTCCCTCTTTTAGGTTCCATGTTGCCGTCAGTTTTGTGGCTAGCTGTGGAGTGGACTGCCCGCTCACCCCCACAATATCCTTGCGAGTGACCCATGGTGACAGTAAGTTGGGCTTAGCATTAAAGCGGATTCGTTCTGCGTGCGGGCGTGCGGGCGGGCCGGCGGGCGTGTGGACGTGCTTGCGTGCAGTCTTCAGAATTCCTTCAAAAGGACTCCGAGAGAACATCAAAAGGTTTGACCTTTTCTTATCTCTGGCAACCTGGCATGGATTTCCGCTAACGATTCTTCCCTGGTTGTGGGGGACCAATGGTAATGATAGTCAAAAAGCAAATTGTATCAAGTTGTCAGGGGCCTTCAGGATGGGCATTTAATTTATGATCTTATGGGATTTCCTTGTGTGACTTCTGCCCCTTTTTCCTTACAGTCCCTACTGCTACTACTTTCGAGAACACGACAAGGAAACATGTCCTCAACACCTGGATCGGCCCGGAGGAACTGGGCCGCCAAACGATGAGGAAGGTGATCATATCATCTCGAAGCTGCTTCCCGGAGGTTGCTTCGCCTTTCATGTCCACCTCAGCTCGTTCGGTCGGTCAGCACGTTTGATTAAGCTGTCTTGAAGTTGCATTGGGATAGCCTGAAAGCCTTGGAATCCCTGAATCCCTTCATCATATCTTGCACGTGGCTCTAGTAGACTTGTTGCCCTCGCATAGAACCAAGCCAGGGGAGAAAACTAGAAACACTCGGTAGTCCAAGGGACCATTTTCCACTTCCATCATGGTTTCAGGGAGTGTAAGATCGCTTTCTCTTCAGAAGCTTCGCTGTCTCGTTGCAAATCCAAGTTGCCAGGAATCGCAGGAGTGAAGGGTTGTCCATACTGGCACGGCAGGACAGGTCAAGGAGGACATCAGTGATGATGGGGGAACCCCCTGGAGACTATCCTGGTCTACTTCCTGGTCTATGTGGGATATAGATTGATGCAGCTGTTGATGTCTGGGATTGACGACTCCGGTGGAGGGGGACTTTAAAATGCAACCTACTCTGAGATTGTAAACATTTTGCAGAAGGTAATCAGTGGAAGTGAAGCCACCTACATAGCCTGGACCCAGTTGTCATCCATTTCCATCAGGCAGGAATTGGCCCCTTTTTCTCCGCCGGTCAAACACCCTGCTTCAGGGCCATGAGCCTTTGGCCATGGACCAAGGGCGATCCCCTTTACGTGGCACCGAACAGTTTGGGGCCGGCGCCACGGAACAGCCAGGCCAGGCTGGAAAGCTATGCAAGTTCGTCAACCGATCACGAGGGTTGAGGGCAGGGGCCCCTACTCAAATTGTGATGCTTCCTCTTGGACTTTGGAGATTTTCAGAAGAATCGGCATAGACGACATTTTCTTGGCCCCAAAGAGTCTAGGCTGGGACCATGACCATGTATGCCTCCTCAACCATGCTGCTTGGCGCAGTGACAAGAGACATGTGTAGCTCAAGACATGCAAGGTCTGAGGTGGAAGACTTTCGCTTCCAACAAGCTGGGCAGGTTTTCCCGGCGGGCCTAAACAGGGTGTCGAATCATGGCCAAGCTGGCCAAACGACACCAATGTATTTTCTCAAGGGGTTACTTGCCCTCAGCCCCCTCAAGAACCTTTATCCTTACGTCCTTACGCGATATTATTCTAACAGTATTGTTTATAATTGAGTTCATCCACCGATCTTTGGCAGTGTCTCAGGGGGTTCCTGCTTGAGCTGGGAATCCATCAACCCAAAAGGATTTGGCTGCATGGAAAGCTCACTGCGCCACACCTGAAAGGGATGTCACGGCCGGAGACCGACGGAAAGGTAAGGAAAAACATTGGCGGAGGTGCAAGCCATCTGTCAAGCCCTTTCATGGGTAGAGTAGTCGTTGCTTGAAGACTGTACTTCCAACGCTGAAAAGCATTTTACTGTATATACAGTATATATACAGTATATAAAGGGCTTGCCAAGCTGGATCAAAGGGTTGCTGGGAAAGAACGTCCACTATGGCTGAGTTTGGCGCCAAAGCTTTACACGCTAAAAGTTATGAATCGTTCTGCTGAATATCAGTGAATTTTGTTCAGGGGTCCGGACCTGCTCCTCAATGACAACTCTGATGACCAATTGGAGATGATGTGTGTGGTTCACAAAAAGGTGTTCTCCCGTCTGTGTCATTTGTTCTCTTGTGTCGTTGGCCGTTGTAAATGTCAAAGAGTCGGCCACAAAGAGCCAAAAATTCTAATTGCTTCTTGTTACTACTAGTAAGGCACCTGCTACTACTAGCGTGGCACTTGTTACTAGTAGCGTGACCAAGTCTGTGCAGCTTGGCCGCGCAGAGTGAAGTTGAATGATGTTCTGAACTCCTTCGACCATGGCTGAGAACGTGGCCGCACAGAACTGGTCGAATTTGTTATCACCATATCATGTCATGGTTCATCTTACCTCCTGCTACTCATCAACATGCCAACCTGAAAGAATCAAATCTTGCAAAGAAGTGTTTGCAAGTTGTAAAAAATAGATCATAATCCAACACTCTCGCAACAAAGAGTTCAGTTGCTATAGATCAGGGAGCATCTCTTTAAATTGAACAAGTTTCATGGCTTGTCTAATAGTGTGTGTGTGACCCCTCAGCTTGCAAAGCATCTCCCAAACCCTTACCTAAGCAAAATAAACCACAACAACTAGCTATAACAGGCAGGGGGACTCCGGGGAATGCAACCAAAGAAACACAAGAAGACTGGTCCCCTGGTACCTGTTGTTCTCTGAGTCCTGCCAGAACCCTCGACAAAAAATCCAGCCGGACCATATCCAATTTGACCAGGCACAGCCAGCTTCGCGGTTCACACAACACTTGTTGCGAGCCGGCGCCTGTCAAAATAGGTCTACAGCAAGGGGGCCTTGGCTTTGACTGACTTGTAGTATACCTTTTGTCATCTTTGCCGGCACCTCCAGAGATGTTAGAGCGACCTCACTTGAAGAGCTGAAGGGTGCTCATGAGTGGGAACCACTTTGCACCTCTCATGGTAGAAAGTGGCTTGGAGGACTTATGGTGACCTCCCACGAAAGTAATCAACAACAAGTGACAGGCACATGAGTGTCTTTGTTTATATAAGCATCGGGGTGATACTCCTTCCGCTTGACCGCTTCAGTGGCACTTGCTCAAAATCCATGCATCCACTCACTGTAGCAAGCATTTACTGTAGGCCCACCGTCAATTTCCTCCTAAATGATGATGACAAAAGGTCATTCTCAACCACATATTCTGTTTCCACCCTTTGACCCTCTTGTGATGACTGCAACGGACATACCACCATTCCACCTGATATCCCTCAAAGCTGGCTGCTCTGCATTGGGCAAAAACTATTGTAACGACAGTTGCAATCAGGAGGCGGGAAAATCACAAGCAAAGGTACCTCAACTGATACAAACATGACCAGCAAACAGCGATGTAGCAAGGAATATGACCATAGACTCAAGCATTGATTTCAACGTCTGGAGTTAAACAGTCCAACACTTAGATTGAACCAACAACCCCAACCTCTAACCCCTTGTATTCCCTCATGAGGTTTGTCCCGGATTTTCATCCTATGTGTCTCAACATGGAAGACCACCAATGGTCCAAGCAGTCGGAGCCAAAACAAAAACCAGACTTAACATCAAAAGTACCACACAAAAGAGGGAAAAAGAAAACAACAAACACATGACATTTCATTGAACCCATGAACGTCTCCGGTGTTGACGATGCCCCTTTGTAGCCTCGCTGTAAGCGGACATGAAGGTGCTGACGCCACGGGACTGGGCCGGCAGGGTGGTTTGAGGAGATATTCCTGCAGGGTCCCACCCTGCCAGGCAGCTCATGGGTTTTGGGGGTCTTCCTGCGTTTCAACAACTGCCAGGCTTGCATGGTGGCTGAGAAAGTGTGAGAACCTCAGGGCCAAACAGGGACCTTTTAGTTGGTTTGTCCTTTTGTCAGTGGATAACTGGTGGGCTTTTTGAATCAAAATTTGATTTTGCTACAGTAATGAAACAGATTGGAGTCAAAACGGAACACACAGCCAAAGGAAACGCAGCCAAGAGCTGCCAATTTGCAGGAGGGCCCAGGTCAGGAGACAAGCGAAAAAGCAAGCATGAGCCCCTTTTTGCCGCAAAGTCATCGCGCAAGCATCTTGCGCAAAGGCTTGAATCATGAACATCGAATCATACTCTGATCACCCTATCCCACGGCTTCTGTGTTGCACAAAGCAAACGACGTTGAAGTGCCCCCCGAACCCCCCAACATACATATGTGAAATATGTTTTTTTCTTGGGGGGGGATGGTTCAACTCATATTCAAGCTGTATTATGTCTTTCTGGGAGTAGGCCCTGTCCTTGGGACCAAGGCCGCCCTCCTTGCGCTGAACCTCCCCTTTGGGAGGAGCGGCAAGCACGCTACTAGGAACTCGGTGGTTATCACTTAGCTTGGAGCTGCACATGGCATCTACCTTGCATGAAAACCGTGGGAACACAATACTCCACAGTCACAGAAACCGATACATGTTGTATTTTCAATTTTCAAACCTCTATGTATACATCAACAAAGGCATCGTTTAGGAGGTCCAAATCCCTGCACTCCCAAAAGCCAGGTCTCCTCTCCATGATCTTCCACCTCAGTGCCTCTGGCAGGTCCGGGCCTACCTTCGGTGCCAGGCCCCTCAGCCTCACAGAGCAAAGCTAAAAGGCCTCGCAGCGGCCGTGGTGTCCGAACACCTTCGACCTGTCAAAGCTTGTAGCCGTGTTAGAGCAATTTCTTGAAACTAGTCACTACAGTTTTAAAACGCCAAATGTTGCAACACTCCATGAAGTCCAATGTTGCGGGATGGTGCGGGTTATTTGTGCTTCATTTGGAGTCAGTAGACTTCCCACCGAGGTCCTATAATGTGCTTCCCCGATATCTTTTGCAGGGTGGGAGGCCAAGCTCAACGTGTGTTGTGCCTTCACCAGATATATAAAGCTATCAGCAGTGGAGTGCCTTGGAACTGCGCTAGTCAAGCCCAAGGAACCCATCACTGTCAGAAGTCATTCTGCCATGCCTCTTGATATCTCCTCGGTGCTTTGCTGATACATCCACCCAAGAATCCCACAAGCCATGACGCCATGCTAATTCGCGTGAGGCAGGGTCAAAATGTGACCGCTTTGTTACTTTCAGTTGTCAACCCTTTTACTGTAACATTGTTGTGGCTTTGCCTGACACATCCTGACACACTAGCTCGTCAGCTCCAGGCCAAAAACATTCCAAATTGGACGCTGCGTCGGGTCACAGACTGAAGAACAGCCCCGGTCCGTGTTTCGCCGATCAGTGACCAATCCTCTCACTGAACTTGTTTGTGACCCCAGCCAGGGAGTAAAATAATCTTAAGATAACATATATGCTGTAGTGCGAATTATATATATACATAACTATATATATATGTAAAGACGAAAGGCAAATCAGCTATATAAATCACCGGGACATGATTCCTATCTCGTCCGTGGGCGGATCACAAAGACGAGCACATTGGAGTCTCACCGAGTCTCTGATATGCCCTCTCCGCCAAGTTGTCACGTTGTGCTGTACGCCGGCCACCTGCCTTCCGAGAACCTATCAGCTGCTTTTGGAGCTGGCTAGGAGGCAGGAAGTGATGCCAAATGGCACCATCGAGTGCATGCCAAAAGCTGATAACACTCATTTCGACACATGCAGCTTGCTCTGCAAACAAGGCAGTGCTTTGGGGCTCACTCTAGTAACGAACATTAGTTCAATCCAACCATGCACTTGACTATTCGCTGCAAAGGAAAGCACATCATGGGTTGTCTACTGGAAAGCACATCATGCCGCGAGGCCAGGAAACCTGCTCTGCTAGGACCTCCCTGAAAACACGTCCACCACGTCCACCTTCACATCATGCCACAGCTCCTATGCGCATGCAAGTGCGCCCGTGCGGAACACCGGAAGCGCCTGGCGAGGCTGTCGGCGTCTCAGGCGGACTGCGCTGGAAGGCTTCTCGGGCTTTGGCTGCGATCTCCGCACGTCTCTGTGACCCCGAGGGCGACGCCTGGGCAAACCCGAAAGAATGGACACAAAGCTGGTGATTCCAGGACATCTGGACAACTAGCGTGGCACTTGTTTCTAATAGCTTTTTGTTACTACTAGTAAGGCACCTGTTACTACTAGCGTGGCACTTGTTCCTAATAGCTTACATATCGGGACTGTTTCACTTCCTCAGCCAACCAAGGCCATCACCACATATCCTCCGAGTGGAGATGAGGAGGTCGCGCGTGTGGATGGAGACTGCATGGACTCGACCTAGGCCATGATTTGTTGACCCCGTTCCCACATCTGGAGCCAACTAAAGGACACAGCTTCCCTAAAAGCCAAAGTTCCCCACGGGATCTGGGCGTTTTGCAAAATCAATCGAGTTGGGGAACCTGCAACACATGGGCTCTTTACCCTATCCCTTGGAACTCCTGAGCCAATTCCCAAACGATTGCTTTTTGAAAAAAATAGCCAAGATCATCCACCTCGAGTTTTGAGAGTAGTATGCCCACATTTCGCGTTGACATGTTTGTCAACATTGGTCGGTTTCGGTGCAGGGGTGCGTTTTCGCAACGAAGTACTTGTACGGCGGGACGCCATTTCGCTCATTGAAAGGCAACGTGCCCCATCGTGCCCCAAACTATAACAACTCGGAGCAAGAAATACTTGCCAAGTGGCAGGAAGTTGTAGTTTGCACGCTTGTTGAAGTCTGACCTTCGAATTGGCAGTGGGCTAGTTCATGCCCGCTTCCCTGTGGAAGATCACGGCTCACACATAATTAGCAACTCATCCAAGACCATCAAAACCTAATGTAAGCACAACAACACCAAATATGAACTTTTCTGGACCACATAACCTATAGAATGCAAAGACTCAGTTCCAGCCTCAGCCATCAACATCATCCCACTAATTCTGCCACAGCCATGACCATTTCCTCCGATGCCGTCTTGCCTCCTCCGAATCGGCCGCCGTAGCAGTTGAACCATTCAAAGCACCAGGCGCAGCACCTGAAGCGCTGGATTCGCCGGGCCAGATCGATACCCAAAGCTATGGTGACCGGAGGGTGCCAAACTATACGATGATCCTATCAAATCCGGAACGGCGTGGGTGGTTTTGATGAATTCAGGAATGGGCCGGTATACATGTTTGAAGGTACTTCGTGGACCCTGCCCACCATCCCTTCCAAAAGGAACTGCTTGTTGTATAAACATCAACCTGTTTGACAGATTGATGCAACCCCCTATCAAACGTCCTCACAGCTGTGGTTGGTTGGTTTGCGCGGGTTTGCTAGCAGCTCCAGCCATTGAACTTTGTGCGAAGGTCGGCCTCTCCCCAAACAGACCTGAACATGCCAGGAAAAGCCCAGTTCTTTAACGTTCCTTCAGGCTGCTTGGGATAACAATCCGGCATCCAGAACCCTATCCCAACCTCAAAATTACATGTGAAAACCACCAAACATGAAAAAGGACAATGCACGCGGAATTTCATGCATTCCTCCCTCATGCTATTTTTACAATCATGCTACGTCTGCTACGTCAATCTTCTTCGCCTTCTCGCATGCATCCATGTGGCAAAACCAAGAAACACTTCTTCAAATTGAAATGAAGGATACAAGAATCTCACGTGGGGTGACAGAAGTGATCTCTTTTCATCTCTTTTCCAAGTTTGTGCACAACTGTTGGGCAAAGTACCTAATTACAACATGTCTATAGATGTAGCACCTGCACACTTGTCAGGGGCCTTCAAGCCAGCTTAAAGCATGTTTCAGACTTCAATCAATTCCTCTTCTATTATGCACGGATCAAGAATCCAACTCGATGTTAAAACCCGCTTTTTGTGCCCAAAGCGCAGTCGACCTTGCAGGAACTTCCGGTCCGGAAGACGACCGGACTCCAAACTCCGTTCTAAATTCTACATCACCCACAATCACAGCAAAGCCACTCTCTGGCGCCACATCCTTGTAGCTAAAGTCAATCCGTTCGGGCGTCGAAGATGCAAAGCGCTCCTCGTGGTGGTTGTCTTCTGGGAGCTTTGAGGCTTCCTGCTGCGAGCCACCAGTATGTGGCAAGCTCAAGAGTTTTGTTTGTGGCCAACCACTCCACCAACCATATCAACACCTCTCATGCTCCATATGCCTTGGAAGACGCATCTGATTCTCTGAACGCCTCGGCACCTCTAGACCATAAAGGACCTGCATGAACCATAAAGCTCTAAAACCGTGCACCCATGAGCCGTATTCTCAATAGCCCAAGCTCCGAATCCATAACATGTATGAGATTTGGGTCTTTGTACCGGGCAAAAAGGTTTCCTTATTAGGGCCCACCAAGAAAAATATGTTACATATATATATATATATACCTATACAGTATATTGAAGTTCATGAAGGCGATCACAGCATGAGTACCAGCATGAGTGTTTCATGCCGTCACGCACTCCGGTTGGCTGACCCTCCTCCGCCTGGGTCTTCAATAGCTTCTGAAAATACTTAATCTTCTCCTGGGCGACCACCAAGGAGGGCAACAAACATGCCAGTGAGAAGTTGACATAACATGTGGCCCAATACACCGGACAAGCTCAGCTTTGCGGTGATTGCTGGGAGTTTGCGGAACTAAGAGTTGGGACATTTCCCTGTTTGAGCTCTTGAAGCGCACAAAACATCACACACAGTTAAACTCATTATACTATACATTTCCCAAATCACTTGACAAGTGAGGCCCTAAGAGGGAGCAGTTGGGGCATGAGCATCCATATGCACATACACGTTACACTACTGTAATATCCGCCGTTCAGATTTCTGAACACGCCACCCGCCCTTTCGATGCTCCGCCCGCCGGTGCTAAAGGGTGTGGAAGCTAGCGGCAGATGTGCTCAAGTATTCTTGCCCTTCTTCACCTTCCATTTCCTTTCCCTGCCGACTTGGCTCGGGTGGTGGGGCAAACCCCTAAGGGACAGGGTGGCAGTCCATAGGAAGCACCCCAACATATGGATTGGGTCCAAGCGCCCTGATCCTCTTCCAACAAAACCTGCAACCTTGGCAAGGGCCCATCTGCTCTGACAAGCTAGCAGCTAGTGCCGCACACCAAACGGATATATAACTATAAACTTCAGACTTCACTTCAGGTGCCACCAAAAACTCACACCGTTTGAGCAAACATGCGGCCTGTCCCTGCGACCCCATTCACCTGCAACCTTCATCTACGTCGAGGACCATGCCAGCAACAAGCCTAGTCTGACAACGCCTTCTGCGCTGTGCGCAAACCTCACATTTGCCAATTTTGTTGCTTTCATCTGGCTCCATTTGGGACAAGACTTGCAACAGTGAGGTGGGCAGGGACTGCGATGACACGTGCCCCAGGTCACCATCGCCTGCTTCCCAATCGCCTTTTCTTTTGCCCAAACACTCAGCTGGGTGAGGCTACAAATGGCTGCAGTACATCGAATCGATGCCAAAGCTGGTCTTTCCCACATGAGGGGCATCACAACAAATGTCTGAACATGAGCGGGCCCAAATGATGCTTGAGTTTGGAGGGTGAGCCCAATCAATGTATTGTGACATTGTTGATGGGAGAATTACGCACCAGCTGGAACATCTGGAACCCCCAAAACTCTGGACATTCGGTTGACCAAAGCCCCACGGCAGGTAAGCTGAGGCCCTGTCGTCACCGCAATGACCTGCCCAAAAGGCTGTTTGAGATATCACAAGGACCAGCATCCAACGACCTTGCTGAAAGGATGTGACATCAAGGTCGGGACTCCTGGCTATCCTGAGAAAAGGAGGGAACAAGCGCTGTGACAGGCTGCTCATTGAATCCAGCTGTAAAGCACCCCTAGGATCTGGTTTGGAAGGCCTATCTTTCAATCAGAAAGGTGAAGTTTCACTGATCATGAGGACCATGAGGCGCTCTCACGAATGTGCCAGGCCGCCTGATTTACTTAATCCATGTACTAGTAGAGTCTACTGTAATGTGTCCTGTGTAAAATCCTCTCTTGCCAACGAAGGGTTAGTCAAAAAAGTTGTGCACATTTATGCTTCACCCGGACATTTTCTCGACCACCTTTATAATATATATATATATATATCGCCAAGGACCTAAGTGAACAGCTGAGTCAAACTCCAAACTCCTGCATAAAGAAAGCACCTCGCTCTGCCATGTTTGGGTGCCCTGTGTTTCGGTCGTTCTTTCTTGGAGCATAGCCAGTAGTAGCATGAGAGTCCAGCAAGCCTTTGGCACAAAACTCATTCAAAAGGAGAATAGCCTTCTTCTTGCGTGATGGCTTCCTTGCTGGTCATATACAATACTTGCTTGGAATACATGAGCAGTTTGTAGGGATAAGTCTTGACAGGTGGGCCCAAACCTGACATATCATGAACAACAAGAACAACACACGCTGCACTAGTTCTAGTAGCGTTTGTTCGATCGTTCCTACATCCATAGCCTTTAAACCAGTCGTGAATCCGCCAGCCCTGAAGCGTGGCGAAGCGTGGCCGCCGCGCTTTGGCTGGGCTGGCTCCGGCGCGAGAGTGCCTCGGAAGCCTGCCGCAAGAAAATTTGGAAGAGAGCCTATACCTAGTAGCCTAGAGTTTTGGATAGCGATGGCCTCCAACGTTGGGTGAAAAAGCTTGGAAGAGCGCCAAGACCTAGAAACCCAAAATGTTGTAAGAGAGCGGCTCTTCCCATCCTGGGGCGGGAAGCAACCTTTTGCTGGTGGCCGCACATTGTCCCCTTTTAGGAATCTAGCTAAACAAAGACTTAAAGTTTTTTGGGGTGTGCATCGCATCATTTTCACTAGAATGGTCACATCACTGAGAAACTTAAGCTACCGCCTCCGCATGCAAATCTGGCTACCGTCGTGTGACTTTTTACTTAACTTTTGAGGGTTTATCTTTCTGAATGACAACCCCTGCCTGCCTCATCTTGCTGAATAAAAACTCCTTATTTATGATGCTTATCATTTAGAATTTTAGACGGTAATGTTCACCCGTGGTGCTTCTAGGTATGAACCTGGATCATCTACGCACAATTTATCATGGACAATTGAAAACGCACCCATGGACTTATCAGCCTGGCAGTAGAAGATCTGACGTCAAAACTAAGAGGCAAAGTGTGAAACTTTTGTAAGATTTTGTTTCGCACCGACTGAAGTGAACACTGATGCAAAATCACTGCATCTTAAGACTTATTTTTCACACCCACTGTTGTACAGTACAGCCTGCAGGGTTCGACGTGTCCCAGCTTCAAGCATCCAAGCAATGATGACGGTTGGCAGGGACCAGTCCCTTGTTGCAATGATAGTCATGGGGAACAGACTATCGGCATATGCGGGCACATGATGGCATATGGTATTGTGGTCAAGTTGGGTCAACTTGCTTGCGAGATTGCGACTGGTAGTGTGGTCATCCTGGTGGCTCGCGGAATCTAAAGACCGTACTGCGAAGTATCACTTACGGCATCTTACGGCCACGTGTCCATTGCGAAAGCAAAAGCTTGGTAACCCATACAAGCCCAAAATGCCTTCAAACACCTCATTCAGACTACAGTGACTACAGTATCTCCAAGCTAGCTCAGGTCCCCCAGGTCCTTGCTTCAAACCAAAGCGCACAAAGGTCATCCATGGGGATGACTCACTCAAAAAGCGAATTGCTCCCATGAAAGGCGCGGCCTCCTCTACCTTTGTTAAAAGCCGCAAGCGCTCCTGACCAGCGAAATCAGGATTTAGCAAAGTGGCTCATCATGGTTACTCTAGTTAATGAAAATCGACTTGCACAACAAGGCCAGCGAAAAGCAAGAGGCACGTGACAAACACATCTGGCCATGGAACAGTCTCGTGATCGGACTCGGAATATTCAATCAGTGAGGTGGTGTGTGAGCTCACCTTATGGCAAACCTCTACTACGCTTTCAGAACAATGAAGGTTCATCTTTGGTTCCTTTACCTTCCTTCTTAACAAAGCTTTTGCTGAAATACGAGGTGTCCAGCAACTTCATCATCGGTCTCCCTTTCGGAGCGAATTGCCAATTTAGTGGTAAAGACACCCATAGCGTTGAACCTGTTGAGTGATTCAGCACCTGTTCATTGACCCGGTCAAATGGTCTGAGCATCAAATTGAATTCCTCTTCGGAACCTCCCCAAACCCCCCAGGATCTCCATCGTTGGACCCGTCCTCGGCTAAGAGCGGTTCCAAGGACTCACACTTCTGCAAGGCCTCCTAGAAGCGAGGCTGTGCTGGACGGAAACAGAATAACATTCCGCAATAGAAGGAGAACGTGTCCCATACAGTTCAAGGTGCCAAATGGACCTGAGAGAACAGAATGATAATGAACCAAAAAATCTTTGTGGGACATGCACGTGTCAATCTACTTGGCGCCAACTCTGCGACAGAAACCAAGCAACCTGCTGCTGCAGGTTCACATCCCTTGTGTTGCTTGTGGTATCAGTTTCAGCTAGGGGCAGCGGACTCTTACGTACGTACTAACATATACAGTCATTACAGTTACAGTACATACTTTTCTGGTTCCTATAGAGCCCGGTTGGATTCCACAAATTTGCAGACCTGTGGCACCACTTCTATCTCAGACCAATCGAAAAGCAAGCTCCGCAAGCTTGAGGCCGATTCAAGGCCGCGAATGCTAGAGGGACCCAGGAAAGCAAAGGAAAGGCTAACCGTTGGGTTCTTTCTTTAGACAGGGGTGGCTTTATGGTGCTTTATGTGGGCCTCTCTAGCTGGAGTTGGGAACTGAGTCCACAGTAGGTCTTGGATTGCACATCCAGTGGTTCAAGAAATTCAGCATTGAATAGCGGAACCAAAATACACTGGATAATTGGATAACGTTGAAAACAAGCCCGAGTTGCAAGAATCCACGAATGAATTATGAATAGCCGCCTCTTCTTGTCGGACGGGTTGACCAAGACAGCGCCATGTGTGACTTATACAGTTCTCAGTGGTGGTCCGAGAACAGGGACACACTCTGATTCTTGGTGTAAAGGCCAGCAATCTTAGCCACCTCTATCGACTTGGTCGGACATGCCTACCATTGCCTACCCCACCACAAGACCCATCTTCAAGTGATGTCCTCCACATTGCGCGAGGCTAACGCCACCTCCTCATCCTGTCCTTGCCAGAGCCGGCGGAAGGTGTATGGCCTTGTAGGGCATTGCGGGGATTATACTGCATCTGTTCATATTATATACAGTATGTCCTGCATGTTCTGTGTAACCAATGTTCCGCATGTCCCGTGTTCCATGTTTCGCCTGCTTGAGATCGCAAGTGTCGCGCAAGTCGGTCTAGTCTGGACCTGGAGACTGGCTGCACGGCATAGGTCACGCGGGGGGGGGGTAGCTTCTTGTTATATTACTACTAGTAACAAGTGCCACGCTAGTAGTAACAAGTGCCTTACTAGTAGTAACAAAAAACTATTAGAATTAAAATAAAAATAAATTACTAATAGCTTCTTTTTACTACTAGTAAGGCACTTGTTACTACTAGCGATGCACTTGTTCCTAGTAGCAAAGGAATCTACTAGTCTAGACCTGGAGACTGGTCTTGTCAGGACAGCTTCAATGTTCGTCTGAGTGTAGCTTCCCTAGAGGGTTCGGGCGGTTGGAACTTGCAAGCCACAGGCATCCTTTTCCCTTCAAAGAATGGGATTTGTTATTCACTTTTTATCAGATCCACTAGCCCAACCGCATGGTTCTGCCCGTTCTTGCTGTGCTATCTGTCTGTTGCTTATTCATTTTTTCTTTGCCTATGCTTTGCCTTATGATGCTGGCAAATTTGCTGACCATGTCAGGAACCAACACCCAAAGATGACAAAGTCAACCACTGACAGTCACTGACAGGTAGGTTCCTTATGGAGAGGGGCTTGCTGACCATTCGTCGCCGCGCAACACACTTGATTCTCTGTGTGGACCAAGTCTGTGTTCCAACCAACCCGCGACACTGCAAAACATCAATCATGGAGGCAGGATCCCCTGAAATCATCGCAACATATCAGTTGCACAGGAGAGACGGCAAATGTACCAGTCGATTACCACTCACTTCCCGATACATCAAAAGCAGGCTGGTCCTTTATGTTCAATTGCAACAGTAATGGCAGAAATATGTCATGTGCATCCTTGGGGCAAAGTTCCGCTTCTCAATCATGTTTGATCACACTTGTGGTTGCGAAGCTCAGTAAACCACCCAAAGAAACACGGTGGTAAAATTGCCCCTGCAAAATCTTGAGAATATATATAATTATATATATATATACAGGTGACAGGTGGGTGCTACATTAGCTTGTCTGTGTAGTGGTCATACGGCTGGTTGGCCAGTTTGTACCACATAATCCTGGGCCGGCTCGGACACTATGCCTTTGGAATCCGCACGTGAGATCCAACTGCTGCGTGACAATTGCCACGCCTTGGAAGATGCACTTGAGCTGGTGCTTTTGAAAACGCTGGGGAAGGCTGCAATAT